GTCAGGCAACAGATCGTTTATTATGGAAAGTCAACACATATTTATAGATTTTAATGTACATTATTGTAGATTATTGTTAGTAGAAAATACAGTCTTTTGATTGGTTGTTTCTCACAGACAGTTAACCTTGCATCTCTTTGTGGCTGTGTCAGATCATCCATACGCTAACTGTATCCGCCTACGCAAAGCCTTTGTTCTCATTTTCTCACCACCAATATTGGGGACATAAACATTGACATCAATTACTGTCTACCAACTTTGGCTAGCAGCCAGCTCTCACCACAGTAGCATCATTCAACCTGGTCACAGCAGTTCAATACAGACGAAATAATTATGACTAACAGTTGAGTACAGAGAATTACTTGTTACTGTTTTTCATTAAATATTAAATATAATTTTGATCCTGATGAGTAGATTTGTCTTATTCTATTACATACAGTGGGATTGGACTTCTTATCATGACAGCATGAAGGGTTGACTTATTAATAAGAAGTGAAAAGGTAGTGTGGTGAGTGCTACTTATAATCCGATATAAGTAGTATATCAGAAACGAAGTAACAATATGTTTGGCATACTGGAAAGAGCAATCAAAGAAGAGAACCATGAGAAGAATGTTGTCATAGAATGCAAAATCCAAGAAGCTATCGAATGAGACGATATTCGACCAATTCGTCAAGGATGTGGTAAATGATGTGCAAATGGCCGGTTGAGAATATGGTATTCCAAATTTAGCAATTTACCATACATTTCACCAAATGAACATTCCTTTCAGCCTCCTCAGTCTTGTCTTCTTTACAGTAGTTGCTGGAATAGTTCAGTGTAATTGAAATAGTGCTGTCCTGAATTTGCTCAATTATTCATCTACTGCAAAGGTCGTATGAAATTCTATGTTAACACCCTCAGTCATATCAGTTGAATTAACGCTTCAACTGAAGTAGATGCAAAGGTCTAATGCACTACGTCGCAGTATTACGTTAAGGTAGACACCCTACAAATAATGCGATTTATTTTGGTAAGTCTAACTTACAATTCTGTTGATATTTCCACGGATGCTAGAACAAGTGTAAAAGCAGTAGCAATGAAGTAATTTTGAATACACTTGCCCTATATTGCATTAATACCACAGAGACTAACTTCTATCCTAAGATTTGAAGTGCAAAGGCTTGACTGAAGTTTATATGAACCGGTTGTGATCGTACAGGATTACACTTACGCATACTTGCAAGTTCTCACTTTAGAAAGTATCAGTCTAGCATGCCATACTCCCACCATTAGCATGTGAAGTTAAAGATAGGAAATTTTATTTTTATTACAATACAAAATTAGTTTATTTACATATTAAGAAAACATCTCATTCCTGCTACCACTACTCCAGCGTAATCTGCTGCAATTCTGCTTCCAGATTTCTCTAGGATTTTATTCATGTAAGCATACATGAGCCTGGTGTTAGTGAGGTATTTCTCACAGGGTTTTTGTAGGAAAACTGTTAACGTGCTTGGAGGTGCGTATGAACTGCGTGAATATGTCCATCGTTGACACTTCTCTAGCACATGACATACTACAAATGGCAATATAGGAGACGCAAATATAACTGTAAACATAATACTACAGGATTGCTAATGACAGTTCTTATATGCTGTTTGTAGTGACTATAAAATGTCATGTGCACGTGCAAAAGATTGCAAATAATAATAAGTTAAGTACCTAAGATTGTCATTTAATTGAGGTAGATAGATTACAAATAGAAGATAATAAAAGGGCTAATTATTTAGCTAGCGACATAGTAACTCATAAATATATGTAAATATAAATGTAAACAAAATGTAAATATACTTACAAAACGCGCCTTTCAGAAGTGAACTAACAGCAAATGTCTACAAGAGTACCGACAAGTCTGGAACGTTCTACATGTGGATGTGCATGCAAGCAGATCCACCTCTTTTCTCATCCCACTGCCTTTGAAGAAGATGTAGTTATAAGATTCAACCTCTATGGAAGCCCATCGTCGCCTTTTATATTCAAGGATCATTTTCCGCCAGTCGTATGGCGTCAGTCGTCGTAGAAACGGTAGTAGACGTTGTGAGCAGTCATAAGTGAAACATCTTGACTTAGCTGTCATAGCCTCCTGGTATATTCTTGAAGAACTTTGTTTACGCCAATTATATACCTTCAACATACTTTTGTACAGACTATCTGATGTTTGTAGGTGACGCTTCATTTTGTTATGCGGACTTTCAACCATGTTATTCGTAACATTACCCAAAGCTACCACATGGCCATTGAAAGCTGCTGGCCACAAGTGTCTTTGACTTATCCAACACCGTTGTATCTGCTGATTAACACTTACACGCAGTCTGCTTATAATTCTGAAATAGAAATTAAATCTAAAAAATAAGAATATTAAAGGCATTACTCTTCTGTCCTTTAGCAGTGAACTAAGCGAAATTAGTAATTCTTCACAGTAGGATTCCTCATCAACATTTGAACTTTTTATTACATATACAAAGAACTTACTTTACTCCATAATGCACGGGAAACATGAGAAGAACACAGCACAATATGTGCTTGCCTGTGGGTTAACTTGACTGCAGCAATTTCTGACTGTGCACAGTCCATGATGAAAGTCTCCGTTTTGGAAGTGTCTCCCATTGTTTGACGGAATCCATCTAGAATTCAAACTACCTCACGTTCAAATTCCTTTCTACTCCAATGAAATATGACTGGTGGCCCACTACCAAAGTTATCCATAACAACAAATTGGAACAAAGAATACCTGCATATTTATTACTGAATGAGTAAACTGACTTCTTTTTATTTGTATTGTATGCGGGAATCGATACCCACAACCTTCGGGAACTGTTTATACAATTCTGATTGCTCATAAGTTGAAAAACAAACTGTCCCAGGTGAATTTCGTCCTAATTAAACTCTATCAACTTCTCACAGGATTTCAGTAACTGAAAGATGTCATTACGACTAGACACTCCTGAAGTTATTACACATGAAGTCCACTTTACTTTTATTAATGGAGGCTTTCACATTTTTTAACGTCATTAAGGGTGATATCCTTGTGAAATTTCTCCTTAACATGCCTCATTATTTCATCAGATGAGTGCAGTTGCTGAAGAAGTCATTCCACATTTTCTTCCTCTTCTACTTTTAGTCGTCTACACCGTGGATCATTCTGCGGTGCGCAGACGGTTATGCAACATATTGTAGGACGTCATTAGGTATTCACTACAATGCAAAAGTACGCGAAATGAAGACAGTTGCCAAATTTAGACCTTAAATACACATAGTAACATAAAGTACTTTCTCTTACGACTTGTTCCTCAATTTTAGGTCTCGTTTTACACGTTTAACTCCAAAAGTACATTTAAAGGCGACGTACAAATACTTAAACCTGTCATCCCCCGTTGTTTTGATGTGAATATGGATGTAGTGAGGGCAGGACGACTACACTGTTAACATTAAATGACTTCATCGCTTTTTGAAGCTCTTCTAGTGAATTCTCCGATTCTCCTCAACTGAAAAACGCCTTCTCTGCATCACTTCACGAAAACTTTCACTTACATCTGTACTGCTTCTACTCGCACTGATTACCTGTAATGAACTTCTAGAAAGGCTTCGTCCATTAGTATCGATTACTACCACAGCTACTTAAAGTTAATTCGATAAAACACATAATATTTCACTACATGAGTGAGAAATATCAATCAAGAAAATATCACGCGTATAAACACAACTCAAGAAAAGCCCAAGAATCCACAGGATTGTAGTCACTGACAGGCATCATCAATACGGCCAACCAATCTCAACGGAGTGAATGACGAAACAAGCCTTGTCGCTGTATAAAAGCAACTAAGAGTAACATCAGAACGGTGAAATGTCACATTTAGATTCATCACAGTTGTTTGCAAACCGCGGATAACACAAAGACACAAAACCCTACACGATGGCATCTACCTTTTTTTCCTTCACGTTCCCCAGTGGAACATAGGGCTTCAAGCTAGTGGCTGTGTTTATTTTACAGGATGGGGTTGCTAGCCTCATGCCCAACCTTTCCTCTTCACCAGCATTATTTCTGGCTTAGCGAGGTAAAGGAGTGCCTCGTCGGCCGGGGATCGAACCCCGGACCATGTGCATGGTCGGCGAGCGTCCTAACCGCTATGCCACCGACGGCATCTACCTAAGGCAAACCAAATATCCAACTGACCACCACTATTCAAGTCAATAAAAGACGAGAAAACCAGAAGTGAGGTAAATTTAAAACACGATAGCGTTTGTCCTCACCCGTGATTATCTATCCGTTGCGCAAAACAGCTCATACACAGATAGAGCACGAGAGAAAGTGAGTGGACCCAGTGGATAAGTATCATCTTTAGTAAATATAAAAGACGCTTTAGAGGTAATGTTACGGCATAATAGATTGTTTGTAGGTTGTACAAATTATACAAACACAAAATTCATAAGGCTTCTGTCTCTAGGATTTGTGCATTCTGTTTCTACTTTTAACAATTTCGGAACTAGTCACGTGTCCATGAGTTAACTACACCAATAATTAATTAAGGATTTATTACTGATTATGGTTATTATTTTGTAAGTGGTTCTCTAAGTTCTCTAAGAAGTGATAATAAAACTATAAAGAGAGAGACCTTACAACTGATTTATACGGATATACAACGTAAAGATTACACATTTCAGCCAATCACATTCCAATTTTGTCTCACATCGAAAAATAATCGATATTGCATCAACTATATAGACAAATAGTGATCAGATACTATTAAAAAAAAATTAACAAATGAGAAAATTTGTAAAGAGAGAAGAAAGCACAAAATTTTTTAGTTTTGCCTTTGTTTACTGTTTGTACTTTATTAGCATTTTCGTTGTCAAAACAAACAGATAAACAGAAAAACTCAGCTGAAAAATAATCTTTCGCAGAAATAATTCACTCTTTCTTTCTTCGATATGAATGAATTTTCTTTTCACAGTGAAAAATGATGAAACTGTTACCTTCTACGATTGATACGAAAGACTTGCTGATTAATGGTGATAGTGGTGACAACAATGGCGACAATAACAACACCAACAACAACGAGGATTATGCATTCTCATCAAATCTTTTTATTCGACCTAATGGATATAAACATTTTCTACCGGTTAGATATCCTAAGAGAACAACTGCTAAATGGTTCGACAATATCCTAAGACAATTGGAGAAGAATAAATTTCTTCAATGGACTATTATTACACTGTCAGACTATGATACTTGTATAGGCTTACAACTGATTCAATGGAATAATGATATCTTAAAATTAACCTGTCAAATAGCACCAGTTTTACAGCAGATTAACTTGTCAAATCTTAATTTGACCAACCTACCATTTGACTTGTTGAGTCAATTTTCTACACGTTTATTTTCATTAAATTTAAGCTTTAATCAGTTTGAAATGAGCATATTTAAAGATTTTAAATCAGTGTATTTATGGAAGAGGAGACAAAAACGCGATGATAATAAAGTTAGACAAGACGACTGTTGGTTACAAACGCTGAATGAATTACACTTGGATCATAATGCCCTGGAAGATGTCATCACTGAAGAAGCAGTTCATTATATGACTGGTTTGAAAAGGTTATTTATTCAAAATAATGCTATAACTAGTCTGAGAGGTTTGCATAGCCTTATACACTTGCGTGTAATCAGAGCTGATTTTAATAAAATCACTAATATAAATGATAGTGTACTCAGTTTGAAAAAGATTGAATATGCATATCTTTCACATAATCGTATCACACAACCAATATCTGGTATTCGTTTAAAATATTTAAATCATCTTCGAGTTATTGATTTATCTTATAATGGTTTATCTTTTTTACCAGCAGTTATCTTCAATCTGCCTTGTTTACAAACATTGAAAGTTGATCATAATAATTTGTACAGTCTGCCTACAATTCGATCAAATTCAAGAATTTCAAAAGAATTAATCGAATCAATTGATCTGTCGTATAATCAAATCAATGCAATATCTGATGGACTGCTTAGAATAACAAAACACTTGGATTTGAGTAGAAATAAGCTGAGAATATTTCCTGCCTCACTGCTTAAAATGATTGCAAATATGACAAAGATAAGGAATAAAAAACCCTCAGAAATTATTCAACTTGATTTAAACGACAATCCTATAATATGGCCACCGTCTAATATTGTTGAAGTTGGTATAAACGCTATGATAGAGTACTATTTAGAATCAAGAACTGAGATACAATCATATTATGGTATAAAGACAATGTTTTTAGGCGCTAAAAATTCTGGTAAATCCAGTCTAGCTATGAGTATACTAGACAGACAAACACATATGACAGAGAGCAGAGAAGAGATGACATACAGCATTGATTCTTACATGATACATTATGATGCTGTAGAGCTGACACCGAAAGTATGCAAAAGTCAGGTAGATAATGAAACAACACTCAAGTCACAAACAATGAACACTCGTCCAACAACTATCACTTTATGGGATTGTTCTGGACACATGGCTTACACACCATTGATATCATTTTTCACTTCCTTATCAACTGTCGTTACAATTCTAGTCGATATTACAAAGTTTGAGTATAATTCATCTGGTACAGACAATATAAGCATTAAAACCTCTGACAGTTACTTCTACAAGTCAATTGGTATCTGGCTTGACATTGTTATGTACCGATTAAACTTTCTTAAGGTTATTCTACTCGCGACTAAATGTGATCTTATATCATCTGAAAAAGAATTAGACCAACGAATGAAACATTTATACAGTCAAACATCAAATTATTTAAAAACACGACATTTTTGGTTAAAAGATCAAATTACCCGGATAGAATCATCGATTCAAATATCACAAGCTACTTCACAATACTATGAACACTTAAATAATATTTATGAAAATGCCTACATTTCTATTTATCCTAATGTGATCCCAATCAATTTAACAAAGCTTTCAAATCCCCCGCTAATTAATTTCGATCAATTATGCTATACACTATTTGATTTCGTGATTAAAACGCCTACGCATTTACCAGTTTGTTTAACTGCATTACCACATATATGGTCTGATATTGAAATGTATTTAGATGATATAAAACATAATTATAATTCAAATTTAAACAAGCTCAGCAATGAGGTGAATGCATGCATTTTGTCTAAAGCATATTTTAGCCAGTTACTACAAAATAAATTTAATTTGAATACAATAAATTTAAAACAATTACTTATATATTTGAATAATACAGGGAGAATATTAATTCCTGATGCTTTTCTATCAAAAGAAGAAGAGAAATATTTGAATACAACAATGAAATCATTTACTCGACCATATCCAAAGGCCTATGTGATAATTGATTGTGATTTATTCCTAGAATCAGTTAAATATTTAATCCATCCTAACCTCCTATCTATTATTGATACAACTCAACACAATACTAATAGTAATAAAACACAGTATAAAGATCCTTGTGTACCTGAAACATTTCAAAAAGAATTACTTAGACACTTTTATTCAGCTACACGACAAGGTGCAATAAATCGATTAGCACAAAGTTGTTCAGAGTTAAATAAAGGTTCAGGGATTGTAAGCGCTTATTTATGGATTGCATTAGTGGAATACAATCATTTATATGTGACAAAAAATAATCTTGATATTGGCAAGTCATATGTTGAAATACTATGGAGATGGTTGGAGTTGGCCTATCCAGTACCTGAACCAGAATTGTTTGCAAATTTTGACTCTGACTTGACTCGAACTGATATATCACCAGATGGGATGAAGTCACCAACATGGAAATTCAAGTATGTAAGTGCAATTTTTTTCTGTATTGTGATTTTTAAAAGTTTTGTTTCGTATTATTTTGATTTTGAGTGGAATATACGTAGGGTGTAACAATGCAAAAATGACGTGTTGGTGTGCTCAGAATACAGGAAACCAATCTTTGCGTTCTACTGTATTGCTGACCAAAAGATCCTTGAATCATGCACAGTACAAAACTGTTCCTATGAAAATCGAAAGCCGGTAATTATGATGAAAGCTGTTGTAATATTTAACAATGACAACATACTATATTATATATTATTATTATTATTATTCCATCGCGTTTCGACTGAAACATAGGGATTCAACAACACATCACTTGATTCTATTTCCTGCCGTCCTCTTCAACTGGCCAGCCACACAATTACCCAAATTCTTTCATATCTTCCTCACACGATCTCCTCCATGTCACCCTCGCACTGATTACCCACATGTCGCTTCCCATTGGGATTCCAATCGACGGCCTGGCATGCGATGTCATTCGGCGGCCTCCTCAATGTATGCGCGATCCATCTTCATTTTTCCCTACACATGTGTTGAGTAATCGGCTGTTGGTCAAGTTGTTCCCAGAGTTTCTTGTGACTAATCCTTTCTGACTGGCCATTTGATCTCCAGTATGCAGCCAGCGATGGCAGTTGGAAATCCTTTTCGTGACACGCTGGTCAAGTTTCTGACCCGTATAAAAGGACGAACTTCACATTGGTGTTGAAAATGTGAATCTTGTCCCTTATGTCGAGTGCAGAAGATTTTCAAATTGGTTTCTGGTTGATGAAGGCGTGTCTTGACTTTCCTACTCTGGCTAGCTACTACATTTTCATCCTTCCCAATGGCCTGTGGTTGAAACGATGCTTCCTAGCCAGATAAGTAAAGGAAGTAACCTGTGTTAAATCTCTCCCGTCGATGGTGATTGGTGCTGGTTGTTGTTGTTGATGCTGGTTGGTTATCTTCATCACCTCCGTCTTCTCTACGTTCACCTGCAGTCCTGTCTTCGCTGCCGCCTTCTTCAGCCAGTTTGTTATTTTTCGCCTGCAAGTCATCGAGTTTGTGTGACATTAGACATATATCATCTGCGAAATCCAGATCTTCTACAGTCTTCTTACTGGTGGTCCAGCGTATTCCTGACTCCTCACATCCAACAGTCTGACGCATAATCCAGTCCACCACAATTGAGAATACCATCGGTTATAATAAGCAACCAGTTTGTTTTACTCCTGTGTCCACTTCGAACGCCTCTCTGAGTTTTCCGCTGTGGATCACTTGACACGTGGCATTGTCATATAGCCAGCTGTTGAATGAGACTGAAAAAGACTTGAGGTACGCCGTAGTGTTGAAGTAGTTTCCAAATTACTTCTCGGTCAACGCCGTCTGTCGAAGGCGTATTCCAAGTCGACGAAGTTGATAACGTAATAAAAAAAATCAAAATTACCTTAACAGTACTATTAGGAAGCTATACAGATAAGGTAACTTCCTAAGAACAAAAAAAGTACTGCAAAACAAAGTAACTTAACGAAAATTCAGCTGTAAGAAGTGCCTTAGAATCAAGTGGAATATTCCCGACAAGATGGGATCAAAATCTCTTTCCACAAAGAAAACACACTGACTCTTCCCGCAGACAGTTCAAGGTCAGAATCAACTTGATTCATTCAAACAAAATCACATTATGAAACAACACATTGTCAATGTATCACATAACCACAAAGAGAAGTATTAAAATTAGATACTGAACAGTGGAAATGACAAATAATAAGGATTAAATCAGCATATACTGTGCAAATGTCAGAAAAACGATAAACAGCAGTCTAGCAGAAATACGGATGGTAACTGCAAAGTTATCTGAAACACCTAAATATTTTGATTAGATCGTTTAGGAGGAATTTTCCGAACGACTATTCCGTTACATAAGATGTCAGGTTTTGTAGTTTCAGTAGCCTTTGTGTTGCTATAACTTCTGCTGGTTTGTGTCCTTGGCCTAACTTCTTACCTTTCGTCTTTTCTAGACTTACTCTATGGGCTATATATGTCCAAACCAGACTCACTTTTGACAGTTTGAAAAAATTTGGTCACTGAGTACATGATATTCATTATAATAAAGGTTATTTTGTATTTCCCAATGAATGAAAAACAATGATCGATATTGTTTCTGCTTTGTCAAAGTAGTAATATGAAACAAGAATATATAAAATCTCAGCTTATATATAACAAACAGTTAGGGGGTGAGAAAATAGACTTAGGTCAAGTTAAAGGGACATATTGAAAGTAAAAATAACAATGAAGGTCACTAGACCAAATAACAAAGGTAATAGTACGCCTATTATGGTATCAAAGCAAAGTTTACTAACCTGATCATTGCTCATCAGCATGGGGTCATTTTTTCCGTTGTCAAATTGGCCAATTGCTAAAGATAACAAAACCAGGTGTAGATTATTGTTGGATTTGATAAATGTGTAAAATTATAAAACAGCGTGTGTTTTCATATTATGATATTGCTTATCACATTTGTGTTGATTTTGTCATTTCATGGGGGAGGAAGGTGCTGTAACCAGGTCAAAATCTGCTTTAGTACATCATTCCTATTCAGACAATTTAGATTCCACTTGATATGAAGTGTTTCTGATACTAGACGTTCTCCGTGATTTCTGAAATTTTTCTGGATTATTTGAATATTGTCAAAATCAATTTTGTTGGCAGGTTCTATAGAATGTAGACGACCTATCGTTGATGACTTTTGAAGCCTTTCTAGTTCGACTGGATTACTCGGTGGATGAACAGATACTCTAAAGTGTCCATTTCTTCTGATTTTGATTTCTCTTTGGTGATGTTTTTTCGATGTTAATCACATCGGATTCCAACCATTTTATTTATTTATTATTTATTATCCATCTAACATTTAAAAAAATTGAGCGCACCGCAGCAGACAACAATGTCATGCCATTTGGATCAGTAGTCACGCTGCGAACATGAGCGGCGGAACACTTTATTGCCGATCATTAGGTGACTAATTCATGTACAGGCTTAGATGTTATCAATGTGTTATGTTTTTGTGCTGTGTTAGACGTTGAATGATCAAAGGTAACATAGAGGTAGCCAACCACCAAGTACAGGAAATATGATTGTCTCCTAATATTCCAGAGATAAAACGTCAGGACAGTATTTCAATTATGAACAATGAGTGGAGAAACTGGATGTACTAACTTAAAAACCTCATTAAGCCAAAGTTTTCTCAGTTCTTTCGCAAGCTAAAAATTATGTTGTTTTCGGTACAAGGAAGAAATCCATGTAAATGTAGAGTTTGGGCACCAGTGTAGAATGTAATTCTCTAGTAGATAAGTTTATTGGATGAAACGGATGGTTATACTGTTAATTCCTTTCCTACCGATCCTTTGTTACCCTTTCTTTTGTGCTAAAATTTATACTACTTATTATTATTAAGTAGTCTAATTTTCTTAAATTGTTTACCATAAGTGTTATTTCATACTGAAGTTTATTTCACTTGGTGCATTAATATTTTATTTGATGCATAGCAGTTATCTTCTTATGGTTAGGCGGTATCTGCTACATCTGCATGATTTATATACCCCTCCCCATTGTATGGCATTTCGTGAGCTGTTTAAACCTACTTGTGGATCACCGGAGACACAGCTTTGCTGGGATTTTTTACATTGACGAACAGTGACTGGGCATTTGACGGCAGTTAACCACAGACACCTTGCAGTCTAAGATTTGCACGTTATTCTTCGTTATCTTATGTGTAATATATTAGCGTACACCAGACAAAACTTTGTATTTGAATTTTACGCGTCAATCAACGTGTGGTTTAATTAATCGATTGGAATGGTTGCTCCAGAATTCTAAGGAGAAATCTGCAGATACAGTATTCGTAACTGATCAACGTTTCAAGCAAACTTCATTGCTCATAATCATTCCAGTAATATGTTCACACGTCTTTATAAATTTGTTCTCTTCCCTTGGTTATTCACTGTAATTTTCTATATATCAAGTGTAGAGGTTAAGTCATTTCTCTTGCACGTTTTTCACATTGGTGCGATGCACAAAGATCTGGTGTTTAGCTACTCTAACTGCCTAACTATTTTACTTCTTACTACTTTCATCCAGTCACGCTTTACTGGGTGAATGCATTATGATGATTGAGCTCTTTTCTAGATTATTTACTTATCAGGGTCAATCAGTCTAGCTTTAGTTAAATTTCTATGTTCCAATAATCTAATTAGCTCAGATCTACTAGTTTGACCTATGTAACTGACCTCACAGCCGTCACAAGGTATTTGGCATGTTATATTATTTTGCTTTGTTTGTTCTGTCAGCTCCACGAGTTGACAAAGTTTGTCGCTGATAGAGGTAACTGTTTTAAATGCCGCCATGATTCCAGGCTCAATAAAAATCCTACGTGGGGTTTCTAGTTGTTTTTTTTATGTACATGACAGTACTACTGAGGTTTTAAATTCCCTAATATTTAAATCATTTTCACTATGTATATCACTACTCTTATTTTCCTTGTTGGTCTTCATACATTTCTGAATAAAATATTATTATCATTGTTCCCCTGAGTTCCAAGTGGAACATAGGGCTTCAACAACGCATCTCCACTTGATTCTATTTCCTGCCGTCCTCTTCAACTGGCTAGCCACACAATTACCCAAATTCTTTCATATCTTCCTCACACGATCTCCTCCATGTCACCCTCTCACTGACTACCCACTCGTCGCTTCCCATTGGGATTCCACTCGAGAGCCTGGCGTGCGATGTCATTGGGTGCATCCTCAAAGTATGCGGGGTCCATCTCCATTTCCCCCTGCATATTTGTTGAGTAATCGGCTCTTGGTTGGTTTGTTCCCAGAGTTTTGTTGCTAATTCCTTCTGGTTGGTCATTTGATTTTCATTATGGAACCAGCGAAGGCAGCTGTTGATGAAAGTGTGCAGTAGCCTGTTGAAAATGCTTTTCGTGAAACGCTGGTTTCTGACCTGTATAGAGAGACTCACTTGACATATGTGTTGAAAATGCGAATCTTTTTTTCGTCTGATTTTCCAGTCTAGTGTAGCTAACTCATTCTGTTCATCATTTTCTTACTTATAAATGAACCGGATTCCATCTACTATTGACTTTATATATATATATATGAAGAACTTAGGGATATCCCCAATGGATGTGTTGTCTACATGTCTCCATCATAACTTACGAGCAGGACTGTGGTTATGTACTACTACTGAATAGTGCCTCAGAAAACCTAAGTAACGAGATGTAACAGATGGAAGAAGATCAAAAAGGCTCATGAGGAAAGGAAAGATGGTAGTGGAACGTTTGACCATATCACAAACAAGAAATAATTTAAGGCATCTACAGTTTTAATCTATAAAGGCGGGACATTTGAAATCTTATGTAAGATTCCTAGTAAGGCAGGCATCTAAGCCTACAAACTCACTCAGGGACAAATTCTGTAGACTTAAGGACCTTATTGACCTAGTTTAGTTAAATTAATGTAGTCTGCAGATTGTCTTGTTGTAGTGACTGTGAGGCCAATTACAAAGTTACAGATCAGTAGATCAGGGGTAGTCAGATTATCAGAACATAAGGTGCGTCGGTGGCACAGTGGTTAGGACTCTCGCCGACCATGCACATTGTCCGGGGTTCGATCCCCTGCCGATGCACAACCGATATCTATGGTCGGCCTGCAAAATTTGGGCTACCGATATCCATGCTGAAAATTCCATACCTGTACCAAAAATACGGTGTGGAATCAAGCTGTAATCAAAAAATTAAGAAAATTAAATTAATTAAATAAGCATTCAGCTAAGTACAGAATGGTTAACTTCACGAAAACGAACAGTTCAGAGGAATACTGAGCAGTCGCGATGTATGCATTAATAAACAATCACATTGTAAGGGGGGGGGGCGGCAGAGCTACAATTCTGAAAAGTAACATAGGCAGGTGGTGGGAGAGGTTGATCACTGAATTTTTGTTCGTCAAGTATTCATCACCTAACACGTTCAATAGTGATGATGTTATGCCAGTAACAGAGGTGTGGAAATAATGCAGAGATGCTGAAAATTCCACACTGTACCACTAGTACTGTTTCTGGAATAAAGCAAATTATTATCATTATTATTATTAAATGAAGTTGGATAATTATGTGAGTGTTTTGATATGACTGTGAGAAATAAATTGTGCTCAAAACGTCATTAGTAAACACTCCTGTATCACTGTGCTCTTTTACCAAATAAATAAATTTCTGTGATGAAAAAGATTTGTTTTGTTTCACTGATGAATTCAAAAGACTTTTGAACTAATCATCACCTGCAAGGCGTACAGAAATACCACCAAAAGTATGCACAGAGCTGCCAACAAAAGTAGAAGTCTTCAATGACACCAAGCTACTGAAGTCGAGGAAGGTGGCAGGACTATACGAGATTCCCCCAGAAGCATTGAAAATGGACCCAGAGACTGAGGCATATATGCCCACGCAATTATTGCAGTGGGTCTGGAAGGAAAGCTATCTGTTGAGTGGAAGAAAGGCTACTTTGTCAGACTTGCAAAGAAGGAAAACTTAGACCTCTGAAAGAAATGACACGAAATCATGGTCTTGTCCACGCCAATTAAAATACTAAGTCGTATCATCCTGAAGAGACTAAAAGTCTTATTGGATGCAGAACTCCGACAAGAACAAGTCAGATTTAGAAAAAGGCAAATCATGTGCGGATCAAATAAGGCAGACTATAGCAGTCAAGTTTCTACCTCGATTTTATTATCTTTTAAAAGGCCTTTGACAGCACTGACTGTGAAGTAATTTGGCAGTGACCATGAAATAATTTGGAAACTACTTCAATACTACGGAGTGTGCCAAATCTTTATCAACCACATTCGGCAGTTATTTAACAGTTCCACATGTCAAGTGATCCACAACGGAAAAGTCAGTGATGTCTTTGAAGCGAAGAGAGAATGGGGTGAATGAACATCGAGGAGAAAGAGGTGATGGAAATAACCAACCAACAATAAGCACCAATCACTATCAACGGAAGAAATTTGGAAGACGTTACTTCCTTCACTTATCTGGCTAGGCAGCGTTGTTTCAACTACTGACTAAAGCATGTATGAGAATATCAAGGCTCGCCAGGATCGGAAAGGCAAGATAGACCTTCATCCCTCTGAAATTCGTTTGGAAGTCTTCCGCACTTCTTAAAAAGAAACAAATTCAGATTTTGGACACGAGTGTTAAGTCAATTCTTATATGTGTTTCAAAAAATTGGCGCGTCGCGTAAATCGTTTCCGACAGCCTGCTACAGACTCTTATCAACAGCTGCCCTTGCTGATTCCATACTGAAGATCAAATAGTCAGGAAGAATTAACAACAAAAAACACTGGAAGTGAACCTATCTCAACAAATATCCCGAAGAAAATGCAGACGGACTTGATAAACGCTGATAAGATAGTTGAGTAACATCACACCCTGAGCCATTGCACGAATGGGACCCAACTAGCAAATGAGTTGGGCATTTGCTCAAGGATGACGTGAAAGAGATCGTGGGCAGAGGAGATGAAAGCTTCTGGGCATACATGGGGCCAGCTAAAGCGGACAGCGGAGAACAAGACAAAGTGGAGACGTGCTGTTGAGGCCCTCCCTATGTTCCACCTGGAACCCTAGGGGATAATAATCATTATTCATTTTCTATAGTTTGGTTTGTAAGGGTTTGTTATGTTTTTACGAGTTGATCACGGACTGATATCAGTTAGAGAACCATTAAAAACCAGGGAGTACTGGACAGCTGCCGTTTCATCCTAGTTTGGGAATCATCGGCAGTACGCACCCACTGCGATTCGAACCCAGGACCTTTCGATTACAAGGCAACCTCGTATACCACGTAGCCACTGGGACCCGATTAAATGAGTCATGAATTCTAACTTCTACCAATTCGTGATTTAGTGCGACCCCAGCCGTTGATTCCCAAACTAGGATGAAACAGCAGCTGTCCAGTACTCCCTGGTTTTCAATGGTTCTCTAACTGATATCAGTCAGTGATCAACTCGTAAAAATGATTATTCAGTTTTATTGGGCTTTTATTTATTGGTAACTTTGACAAAAATATGGATTACCTAGAGCGTTTAGGGGAAACTAAAGATTAATCATATGATTATGAGCAATAGTTTGTGCTCGAAACGTCATCAGTTAATATTACTGTACAACACTATGTGATTATCAAAATAAAATCTCATCCATAATGGATTTATGCTCTATCACAGTGCCCAAGTTTTATACTTATACCGAATAGAGTAATCAAATAATAATTCAATCTTGCTGTATTGTTGTCCGATGCTAGCATTTTTATTAAACTGTATGGTGAGTACTTTTCATTTTTCTTAATTAACTCAGTTTCCGTCTCCTAGAGAGCTGGCTTTAGCCTGTGGGATTATATCATACAATGACCAGTCATCAGAATTACATGAAAATCAGTCAGACACAGATCAGAGTGACGATATGGATACGCGTCAGTCACCTACAAATCAACAAATTCAAGAGATGATTTGTTCAGAACGATTACCAGCTTTATGCTTTCCATGCTTAATTCCCCAGAACTGTACCAATCCAATGGATGAAATGAGCATTAATCTATGGGAGACAGTTTGTCGAATTGGACCGAGGCCAGTTATCTTTGTATATCGTTTTTCTTATGGTATACCTCAAGAATTATTTGATAAGGCTACAGTACGCTTGAATTGGCCAGAATACTTTAAAGTAAGTAATTATGTAATTACAAGAGCTGCACACAGTTTTACTGCAGATATTCAACCCCTGTGATTAAGTTGAAATAAGTAAATAAAAGAACAGTAGTTACTGCATTTATAAATTTAGATAGAGCATTTCATCTTAACACTCTATTTTGTAATTATTCCTTTGACTTCCCAGTAGAATACAGGATTTCAAGCTGTGAGCTTTGAATTTTAAGTGGCAGTGGTGTTATTCCCCATACATATGGGGTGGGGTTGCTAACCGTATGCCCAGCCTTCCCGCTTTACTGGACGTACGATCGGTTAAATGAGATTTATTTTGATGTGGTTGTGTTCTCTGAGCTGGATGGTTAATTTGCGAAGATTTCATCGCCCAACTAGGTGACATATTCAGCAAATACTTCAATTTGTTGAAGTGAGCTTTTTGATTTCTCCATGAGTTTATTAATCATCTCTCCCGCTAACCCTGGACGTGATTGGTTGTTTTTGTGTGTTTTCACACCTTCTAGGCTACTTGTATTAGAACTGATTGTTTCTTTGATTTGAACTTTGACCCTTAGTGTGTGAGATTTCCTTCTTATCGATTGGCAAATCTTATCAATCTCGATGTGTCTATTGATTGATGATTCACTGGAATGCCAAGCTTCTAAGAATTCTCTAGCATTCTTGTTGTTTCCTCTGACTAGGCTTGATACCTATCAAACCAAAAGCCCCCAAGGAAAGCACAAAGAAAATCGCCCTGCCATATATAAAGGATACTTCAGAAATCATTGCAAGACTCTTCAAACTTTTAGGAATTGATGTCACACACAAACCAACAAAATCACTTCACTCAGCCAGCTCTGTGTGACGCAAAAGACTCAACAGCGAAAGAAGATAAAACCAACATCATCTACAAGATAAATTGTAACAACTGCGAAAAACACTACATTGGCCAAAGTGGACGTCCCCTTCATCTTCGTATCCACGAACATAAGCTAGCCGTCAGAAGACATGACATCCACTCCCTTATATCACTACATACAGACAACCACGGATATCAGTTCGACGTTCAAATATTAGACAGAGGAAACAACAAAAATGCTAGAGAATTTTTAGAAGCTTGGCATTCCAGTGAATCATCAATCAATAGACACATCGAGATTGACGAAATTTATCAACCGATAAGAAAGAAACCTCACGCACGAAGGATCAAAGTTCAAGTCAAAGAAACGATCAGTTCTAATACAAGTAGCCTAGAAGGTGTGAAAACACACAGAAACAACCAATCACGTCCAGGGTCACCGGGAGAGATGATTAATAAACTCGTGGAGAAATCTAAAAGCTCACTTCAAATTGAAGTATTTGCTGAATATGTCACCTAGTTGGGCGATGAAAGCTTCGCAATTTAGCCATCCAGCTCAAAGAAAAAAACCACATCAAAATTCGGTGTGGAATCAAGCTATATCAAAACAAAACAAATTATTCCAAAGGTTTGACAGAATCAAAGATAAATTATCCCTTTTAGAAAAATATGTTCTGTTGAGAACAAGCAACACCAAAAAATAAATTCAGGTGGTCGTTTTCGCACAGAAGTGGAATCACAAAACTGTCCCATGCAATAATTTGAATATCTACCATTTTGTCGTTTGGATGTTAGAGCCGTTGAAAATCTTACACAATGTTCATAGAAAAATATAGAACAAGGATTGAGCACGACATTGAATATTATCCTTATTTAGCCTTAGTAGATGCTGTGTCATTATTCAATAGACAATACTGATAAGAGCTCGGCCAATGTGTTGTACTCACTTGCATGTAATCACAAATAATAGGGTAGGATAGTGTAAAATTATTGAATAGAAATATAATTAGATAGATAGAGTGAGAATAATCACAGAGTTATTATTCTTCTTGTTCTTCGAGTCAGCACAAAATATGTGCAGTCAAAATGGCGCAACCTCTATTCCGGATTTATGGAACATTACGGTAAAAAATAGCAAATAACAAGGCTACATTAACCAAGTTATCAAATAGTGTGATTACACTGTTACGCCTTTGAGTGCTAAATTGTATTCGAAACGTCATCCAGTTGTGATTACTGTATTACAATATGTAACATCACATAAGCCTATCTACTATGGAATTATATCATACCCGAATTTTACTCTCAAAATTAATTGAGAGGTATGTGGGGAATCGTAATGTGATTAGTGTTGGATATTGAGGAATTTGATTCGGTCCGAATTCCTGTTAAAATAAGGTGAAGGAGGACTATGAAATAGCTAAAAATGGTTCACAAACTTGCTTTGTAACCGGAAGGTCCTGGGTTCGGGTGGCGCTGGGAACGTGATGCTGAAGAGACCCAAACTAGAGCTAAACAGTAATAGGAGTACTGCTGTCAGCTTGTGACCAAACCTGTAGTTATGAAAGTAGCAATTTGACAAGTTATTTTTTAGCGTTTTTACATAAGCATTCACTCTGTGTTATTCCTATTATGCAATATCCACTTCAATGGAGAGAAAATCAAGAGGTGAATCATACAATCACCACGCATCAACATAATTATAATACAGATGGATGGAGTAAAGACAATGAATAAGTGTAAGGTGGTGAGAATGAAAATTTTAGTTATTTACAAGTGTTTATATCATACCTACTGAATTCTTATACAACGACTGGGGAACAGTAAAACAGACTGCAGATGGGCAGTAAAAACATCCAGTGACCAGTCTTCATTTGATTTACTTGAATACAGCAAAAAAACCGTAATTTTTCCGAGTGCCACTGCATAGTTGACTAAGATATTTGGGAAAAATTAAATGTTGAATCCAGTGAGGCAATATTTAAGTAGTGATCTATAAAAAGATCATCAAAAGTGCTGACAATCAGAATTGGGATTTTGCATGCATTAGCAAAACAACTGATAACTACTCTCCAATGAATTCTTCATCAGTGGAAAGATAAATAACCATTATGGATTTCAAAGTCATCTGATTGTAGTTTTGGATGGTGATCAGTGCTGAACTGTACAAATTCCTAGAATAGGTTGATGCTAAAGGCATTTCTATGACATATAAACCAAATAACTTAATGTTTTATTTTATTCCATCTGGTGTTTAACAAATGAGGGTATAAAATGATTGCCACGTTTGATTGTATTTAGCGTATAATTAGTTTCCTGACCCATGAGGTCATAAATGCTCAACTGTTTAAATGGATGCTGGCTTTATTATTGAAGAATGGGTTATATAATCAATTAAAGAAAAATATGAATTCAATTACTTGATGTGTTCATATTTATGACAACACTCTTTGAAGGGATACCTTTTTTAAAGTAATGTTTCTTACTACTCATAAGTAAAGTAACTTCAGAATAAGTTTTATTGGAGTATTTGTGTTGTTACACGATTGGAAGCACTAGGCGGGAAGCCTTGAGCGCTTGGCTTTCGTTCTTGTCAGCAATCATCACAAAGGCGGATCTTCAATTGTGAGAGAACCCATCCCTTTCTGAGTTTCGAACTCGGGTCAGTCATTCCTGCAGGCAAAGTCATCACCACTGAGCTATCAGGCCTCGTGATTGACATCCTGAAGGACTGCATTAGATACTTTGATTGGACACTAGGCGGTGACTAATGACACGCGTATAGTCACTGGTGTTGGTTCAGACTCAATTCTATCAGTCAAATTTGCAATGTGACCATCTTACTGGGTGGCTCGCCATTACGGTGCATTGTGAATTGTTGGTATTAGATGGTTGGGGGCAATCGGCAGGAAGCCTTGGACCTAGGTTTCGTGCTAGTTGGTACTCAACAGTCAGTAACTAGTGTCTATATGCAATACAGACCCACAGGAGGTCAGTCGCGAGCCCGAATAGCTTAGTGGTAACCTCTCCGACTGCAGCACTGGGTGATGCGGGTTCGAATCTCAGAAGGGACATCAGTTCCTTCAAGGTTACAGATACGCCTTGCTGATGAGTGCCAACTAGCACGAAACCTAGGTCCAAGGCTTCCTGCCGATTGCCCTCCAACCATCTAGTACCAACAATTCTCAGTGCACCGTAATGGCGAGCCACCTAGCATGGTGGCCACATTGCAAACATGACTGATAGAATTGAGTCTGCACCGAAGATAGGACTAGACACATTACACTAGTTACTGACTAGTGTGCAATCGAAAATGAAACTTAGGCATATCAATGTGCTCTATAATAGAGGACATACTTCAATCATCTGAATTTAGTGTTGAAATCATATGTATATAGTCAATTAAAAAATTCTAATTATGCTGATAAAAGGAAATTAGGAATATATTTGTTATAAACACTTCCTCAAAACAATTGACGGTCTTTACGTTCCCAGTAAAACATAGGGCTTCAAGTAAGAGGCTTGAAGTTTCTGTAGCAGTGGTATTTATTTATTTTCACAGGGTGGGGTTTTTAGCCTAATGCCCAACCCTCCCTCTTTACCAGTCTTATTACTGGCTTAACGATGTTTGGGAGTGCGTCGGCCGGGGATCGAATCCCGAACCACCTGCATGGTCGGTGAGCACTTTGCCGCTGTGCCACCGACGCACTACTCGACAGTTTACTGCCCATTATCTTCATTATCATTTAGTTTATTTCTTTACCTTCTGGACGGAAAATTAGGCTTCAAGCAAGGGGACTGAAGTCACAGTAGTAGTGGGTTGTTTTGTTTTTACGGCGTGAGTTTCTAGCCTCACGGTCAACTTTTCCCCGTTACCGGTCCTACTACTGGCTTAGTGAAGTTTAGTAGTGAGTCGTTTGGTGACTGAACCCCTGACCACATAAAATTTGGCTGGCCAGCATTCTCACCACTGAACCACCGACGCCCCCTACTGGTAATTCGCTACTGATTATAGGATGAACTACCCGCAGTTTTAAAAAGAAGTGCTAATCGATAAGATCCATCAAGTTCACTTTCAAGACAGATACTCGCTAACATGATTTGACAAGAGTAACACTGTGAATTTACATAAGTTAGAACTGACTGGTCATTGAAATTCAATCCACTAGCCGCTAAATGGTCAAAGCATACGTCTGACAACTCAAATGTGTTGGGCTTGATCCCTGGCAGCATCGTGAGGGTGCACCGTTGAGCAGGAAAAAAATGGCAAAGAAGAAACAACCTTCCAGTGGTCTCTGGTTTCTAACGATCACTTAGCTTATGTTGGTCCATGGCGAAGTCTGATTTAAAATCAATAAAATCTCTACAAGTCAAAACATTTGGAAACTCTACTACCACAATATAGTTTAAAAGTGCTTTTGTTTTGTAAGTTTAACTAAATCTAAGGTTCACAGTTAAACCATTTAATTAGGCTTGACATTTCAATCCATAACAAGTCCGCACAGAGTTCAATTCAGTTTCGTGACTATAATTTTGAAAGTTCGAATGACTTCACTCTGCTCTGAAATGCATTAAAGTAGTTTTAAGGACATACATTTTAGTGCAGACGAATGTGGCCATTTTTGAAGTAACGAAGTAATGGGATCTCCACTGGGCCCATTACTAGCAGACTGCTTCATGGCAAGCCTCGAGAACGGCCCACTCAAATCAACCATCGACAGTTTCCAGTTGTACGTTAGATGTGTTGACGACATCTTTATCATCTGTGATGACGGTCACGATCTCAATCAACTACTGCAAATATTCAACAAATGCCATCCAGCCAAAAAAGTTCACTTTGGAAACTAAAATGAATCTAAAATCCCTTTTTTTGACATTGAGCTTACAAGGAGAGATGACGGAACTTTAAGAAGGTCAATCCATAGGAAACCGACTTGAAACGGATAATTAACAAGTTTCTACAGCTGGGTACCAATCAGTCGGAAAAGAAACCTAATTAAATCCCTTGCCACTCGCGTCAGACGCATCTGCAGCTCCGACACCATGGAAGAAGAACTAAACTTCCTGAGGGAAATCTTCATACAAAATGGCTACCCACCAAGATTTGTAGACAAAAACATCAAACAGAAAAACCAAAAGCAAGAGACACCATCCATGCCAAAAAAGATACTTTATATGAACCTAGACTTCAAAGGAGACCTACTTAGTGACGTCCTCAGAAGGAGAATTTCCACCTCTTTAGGAAGAACTTTCCCTGCGGCAACACTAAGAATAGTGTTCTCCAGTCGCCCACTGATCTACAGAAACCCAAAGGACAAAATTCCGCACATGACCACTTATATGTGTATATATCAGTTCACCTGTTGCTGTGGAGCCAGGTACATCGGTCGTTCAACGCGCATCCTGTCAAAAAGGTTCAAAGAACACTACCCAGCGTGGCTACAGAAAGGAAATAATGGCCATATAAGGAGTGCAATAATCGAACATCTCGTCAACATTGGTCATTCCATCTCAACGAACGCCTCCTTCAAAGTGATCTACAAAGTGAAGAACAACCTCCCAAAGACAGTACGATTCCGTCTTCTTTGCATCGCAGAAGCCCTAGCCATCCAGTTGGTGGAACCAGAACTATGCATACAAAAGAAAATCATCCAACCACTTCTACTCCCATGGTAACAACTCCGTTGATTTGACCCAACTCTTCTTTGTTTGTTTGATTTGACCTTACTTCTGTTTGTATGCTTATTCTTCTAACTTAAAACCTTTGTGTAATTCTGTATATTATTTTGTTTCCATGTACACCCTTTGAGTACACCGCATTCATCAAACTATTCATGCCATTGTGTAACTCTTTTTTAACAATCATTTGTGACAACTCATCACTTCTGTTGCTATCCTCTTATCAATATCCAATTCATTTGAACTTACTAACCGTATTTTCGTTTGACAAATTTAATGTATACACACATACACAAAAATAACCATATATATTTGCGATTGTACAGCTTTGAAAATGAATTCGCCGAAAAGAGACTCTTTGCTGAACTACTTGTCTTTTGTCTACTAATGAGAAACTGACGAACCTAGCCAAAGTATATTTTATGTCTACTAGCTACTTAGCATGTGACTAGTAGGGTGCAGCAGGTCGGGTGTGAGGACAAATACTCGCCAAAGATATTGGCTAGGGGTCGCGCTATATCGTGGACCGGCAGAAGTTGGAATTCATGGGCGATTGGATCGGGTCCCAGTGGATTAATGGTATACGAGCTCGCCTTATAACCAGAAGGCCCTGGGTTCGAATCCCGGTGGGTGCGTACTGCTGAAGACTCCCAAACCAGGACGACATCACTGTCCAGTACTCCCAGGTTTCTCTAACCAATGTCAGCTCATGATGAAAATCCTGCAACCAATCAAATCTCTACAAACCAACACTTGAATACTTAGCATTCAACTTTGCTAATTATAATTAATTGCAATCTCTCTTTAAATAAAAGGATCATATATAACAGACAGAAAGAATTTTGTTAAGGTTTAATCCTACCTCAAAACAGAAAAAGCTAATCCAATCAAAGTATCCAATAGAGTCCTACAGGAGGTCAACCACGTGCCTGAATAGCTCAGTGGTAACGTCTCTGACTGCAGCACTGGATTATACGGGTTCGAATCTCAGGAAAGACATGAGTTCCTTCAAGGTTACAGACACGCTTTGATGACTGGGTAGTGTCAACTAGCACGAAACCGAGGTCAAACAGGGCTTCCTGCCGACTGCCTCCAACCATCTAATACCATCAAATCAATGTGCACCGTGGTGACGAGCTACCTAGAATTGATGGCCACATTGCAAACCTGAATGATAGAATTCAGTCTGCACCAAAGAAAGGACTAGACACGTCACACTAGTTACTACTGTTCAATCGAAGAACAAGCTAATATTCAACATTTGAATTTAGCCAATGTGAAATGCTTTAATTTCCTTAGAATTTATATTACCATTATTCACGCCTTGTATTCCGAATGAAATATAGGGCATCCATAGCACATGAACATTCTACTTGCTTCTCTATAATAACTTCCTACTGCTTCCACGATTGCCCATGACCCTTGCACCCAAGTCAAATCTGTTGATTCCTTTTCGGGTTTCACTTGACATTCTAAATGGCCTGTGATATTACTTAAATGTCTCCTCAGTGTGTGTGTTTAATTCATGCGAATTGCTTTCCGCCACATTTGTTTAACAATAGGTTTCTTTGCTGGTTAGCTTCCTGACAGAGTTTCTTGTTCTTTAGCCCTTCTGGCGGAACATATAATCTTCAGTAACCAGTTATGACATGTGTTGATCAAAATTCTTCATCAGACAGCTGGATATAATGCATTTAGTAATGCATCAAGCGTCTAAGCCATAAAGTGAAATAAACTCTTTTACTGAAGCATATTTTATCTATGTGTTAAACCATCATTCAATAAATAGTTGCTGTTTATTTTATTTCTTCTTCATTTATCAACATCAATAATAACTTGTTTCTTAATTATGTCTTTAAGTTTCGATATACAGCACACTGGAAGACTGGTGTCCAAATGTTCAGCAGTTCGAATCGTATAGTAGTCAGATTTTTATTAGTAAATCAATCGAATGAAGATTGTTTAATCAAGTTTGAATTTCGTGGACTTCCACGAACAAATATTGAGTCAAATTTAATTGACAATAAAAGTCAACAAAATGATACTACGCCAAACGCAGAACAAACCGAGAAAGAAGTAAATTCTATTCCAGACAGATCTGGTATTTCTGAGGTAATATCCTCTACAGATCATAAAGATAGGAAACATTACAAGCGTAAACAAAAATGTCATTGGCATAATTGGCCTATTTCAGAAAGTGATCTCTGGGAACTTATGTTACCTTTGTTAAAAGAGTTTGATGGAGTTCTGCTGGCATATAAAGGTAAGGATAAGGTGAAGCGAAAATTCTTAAGTAGTTTGTACATTTTACTTGGTAAATTTTAAATAATACATGCTGATGGATTTGTTATAGTTTTTTTAGAAACAATTAGTTCCAATTATGAATTTAGATAAAGCAATAAGAAGGAAGACGTAATTTGTCTGAATCGTGTAATGTATTTGCGCGCAAAACACATTTCGAACAATCTGATCACACACACAGACTGGTCATAGTAATAAATATATATAAATGAAATTAATGAAGAGTTACGAAGTAAGAAATTAGACTTAGGTCAAGTCAAAAGGAAAAAAGGACTTATCAAAATAACATAGGTAACAGTACATCTGTTATGGTATCAAAATAAAGTTTTCAGGAGTTGGTTTGTAGGGATTAGATTTGTTTTTACGAGTTTAATACTCGCTAGTGACTCGCTATAGGACGGAGTTTCCTGGAGTTCTAGTGAGAAGTTATGACCAGTGAGGTCCAACCAGTCAAGTGTGACGATGGATGTCCCACCGATGACATTGGTTGGTGGTCAGTGGCACAGTGGTTAGGACTCTCGCCGACCATGCACATAGTCCGGGGTTCGATCCCCTGCCGATGCACAACCGATATCTATGGTCGGCCTGCAGAATTTGGGCCATCGATATCACATGCTGAAAATTCCATACCTTTCCCAAAAAATACGGTGTGGAATCAAGCTGTAACAAAATCACGAATTGGTAGAAGTTAGAATTCATCGAGTGGCTACTGAATCGGGTCCCAGTGGCTGAATAGTATACAAGATCGCCTTGCAACTGGAATGTCTTGGGTTCGAACCCTGGTGCTGGGTTCGTACTGCCAATGACTTCCAAACTAGGATGAAACAGCTGTCAAGTACTCCCTGGTTTTCAATGGTACTCTAGCTGATAACAATCGTGGTCAAACTCGCAAAACAAATTTTACCAAGGGAGGTTTAGCGTGATGACAAATTGTTTTTGAATGCATAACGGTGGTTTAAACTTCCTAATTGCCAGCTAGGGCTTCCATAAACTTTAGGATAAGCCCCAGACAGGTTCTACAGATAGAGATTTCAAAGAGGTGTAAACATGAATTTTGTGTCCTGTCTCTATAATATGTTTCGGAATAGAGGAGTTAAGTCTCCTGTTTTCACCTCGTAAAGGGTTCTGAGGATTCTATTTTCTTCTGAAGCCATTTAGGAATGTATTCTGAAGCCAACCCTTACTTGCAGAGATCGATGAGTTCTCCCTATGTATATGTGGCCACGTGTACATTCAAATTGGTAAATACAGCAGGATGTGACATTATTTTTTGCGTATTCTAAAAGCTTACCAGGGTAGATGTATTATTACTTCTCTTATTTGGTTTAGTGATCATTTTAACTTGTTGTAGAATTAATACAATTATAAAATTCTTGATATGATAATAAAATTGTAATAAAAAGAAACTTCGTAAAAAACACACATAAATGAATGCAATATATGTCAACCGTATAGGACCAAACTACAAGGTTTTAATATGTCTGATCTAAACTGTCACTAGATACTTCATACACTTATTCCCTTTTATGAATTTGAATAAAGCAAGAACAACAGTGGTTTGTGCAGAATTTTACATGATGTCAGCTGACAGGAGGTTCCGAACACAGTCAACAGTGCTCAGAAAATTGCGCTTATATAGTTTTACATATGCAGTTCAAGTTTACACTAAATAAATGTATCCATACAACGGTGAGGATGTTACGTAATAAAGACAAGAGATGCGTAAGATGCAGAGTGACTAATAAATTAGGTGACAATGTACTGAGTTCAACTCAAATCATAGAAACAAGAGACAATCAAGATTACCCAGTATCAAGGGGGTGAGTTTAAAACCAATGATTGCGTAATCAAATGAGAGAATAGAGACTTCCAGTTACCAAGTTGGTAAGGAAGCATTGATAACTGCTTCTTTCTGAACACATGAGTCGGATTTCAGGCGTTTGATAGAGGTTGCTTCGGCAAACTTAAGGAGAATCGAACTCTTTTGCCTACTGATGATTTCAAATGAGTTTTCGACATTCACCTCATGACCCGTGTCAAGGAGATGCCTGGCGATGGCTTCATTGTGAGAATTTGTTCCTTCGGAAAGTTGACTTTTTAGAACATATTCAGTAAATCGGAGGTATACCCTTCTTTCAGTTCTTTCAATGTGACTGCTCCCGCAGATAGATGTAAATTTGTATACATAGCTGAAGTGAACATGAGAAGGGTAACTTTTTGAGCACTGTTCACTAAGTTCGTAACCTCCTGTCAGCTGACATCATGTAAAATTTGCAAGTTTCTTAAAACCTTTCTGTACATAAACTTATTAATAATGATAATTTATTTAGGCTGTAAGCAGCAGTTGATGAGAAGCCGACGAAATAAATGATGGTACCATATTATTCTTCAAAAACCACTGTTGTTCCAGCTTTATTCGAATGTCATTAAATAGTTTGAACATTCCTCACCAGGATTAATGCTCAATTAGAATTGTCCGCTTGCATACAGCCTAGGGAAACTAACAATATATCAGATAAAATCATGATGAAGTAATATTAATAATAATGGAGAAAAAATTTTAAAGAGAAGAGGGAAGGCGAAGAAAGTTATAAAGGTAAATAAAGTAAGAGTATGCTACCACTGTAGATTTAATCTAACTACTGTCTCCTCTTGTATACACAGATTCGGCTTCTTGAATCTGATTGTGCAGGCTTCAGCAAAAACCAAGATCTTTCTTTTATTTTCTCGCTTATTCATAACTATAAAGCTTTTACTCAGTATCACGGTATGACCACTGTTCAATAAATCGGCAATTCATTAAAATTTTAAGTGAAGTAGAAATTAACACGGATAAACAGCTTCTGTGATAATATCAAATCAATAGTAAACATGTTTGGTTGAAAAATGAATCACTGTAACGCTAGGCTAACAACATTTCTCAATTATGGGTAAATTTTCATTTTGATAGAGTCTCACAGTGTTATACAGTAATATTTACTGATATTATTATATTACTGTATAACACTGTGAGACTCTATCAAAATAAAAATTTACCCATGATGGAATTACATTCTACCACAGTGCCCAAGTCTTATTCTTATATCAACATTTCTCAAAATATTAAATATTCCTCCTAAGGGAAGTTTATTTCCAGTAGAACTGTAACAAGTAATTTCGCGTTTGAATTGCAATTATTACACTACTTATATCCCTTTGCAAGTAGTATGCAGCGAATTGAAGATATTTCTGAAGCGCAACCGCCAAGTATTTTCTGAATAACACTTATTCAAACCATGCGCCTGTAAGAGATACATTCATTGCTTATATGTATTTGATTGTTAGATGTATTATAAAATTGAAGTAATTTAGTGAATGGTGACTAACAGTGGGACCCAGAATGCGAATTTCGTCCTTTTCGAGACCCGTCGGCTGGATGTATCTGCACCGTTTCAAACGCCAAAGCGTTAACAACTTGATTCCTCAGGCCACCATGGCTGCTAGGTTTGATGGACACTGCCAATCACCCACTGCGAATGGAGGTACATCCAGCTGACAAGTCCCAAACAGGATGAAATCCTCAGACATCATCGAAGCATCTGTACAAGGAGCTGATACGCTGACAAAGACCTAGCATTTCGGTGCAATCAATCAAATAAACCATCAAAATTGGAATAACGACAATTAGTATTGTAAAATTATGAGGGATATGCATTATAACAAAGGTTTTCGTATTTTCCAATGAATGAAAAACAAAACGATATTGTTTCTACTGACGTTTCGCTATTTAATGCTTTATTTAATAGCTTTATCAAAGTATTATTAAACCAGAATTTACAAAATCTCAGCATAAATGTAATAAGGAGGTGAGAAAATAGACTTAGGTCAAGTTAAAAGGACATATTCGAAGTTAAAATAGGAATGAATATCACTAAACCAAATAACAAAGGTAATAGTACATCTGTTTTGGGATCAAAACAAAGTTTACCAACTTGATCATCGTTCTTTAGTCTGGGGTCATTTTTCTTTGTCAAGCTGGTCAATTGGTAAAGATAACAAAACCAAGTGTAGATTTTTGGATTTGATCAGTGTGTAAAGTTATAAAACAGTGTATGTTCAAGTAATGATATTGCTTATCACATTCGTGTTGATTTTGTCACTTCATGGGGGAGGGAGTTGTTGTATGATATGATTTAAAGCTCAAGTGGATGTTTACGCTGCACTTGTGTCCAACATGTTGGATAGTTTAAATAGAGAGCTTTCACTTTTTCCGAAGTAAGACCCTTCAACAGTAACCCTAATAAGAAGCGAACAATTATAATTCTATATGAGTGTTATAAACTGTCTCTACTGATGACCTTAAAGGTGTCTAGTTGTTACGTAAGATTTTCTTCTGATTTTTTTCTTTTCAATTTTTACCATGTCGAACAAAAGATTTCACAGGAAAGGCAGACAAAACCAACATCATGTCAGATTGCAGCAGGTGTTAAAATGGATGTCCTCTTCATCATCTTATCCACGAATATTAAATAACTTTCGAACGACATGATAATCACTCCCTCAAATAAATGCATGAAGACAACTACGGATACTAATTCCACTTGAAAAAAAACATACAAACCTTAGATCATCAAGAGAGATGGTTATTACACTCATGAAAGATGCTAAATGCTTACTTCATACTGAAGTTACTGATGAAGACACAGTGAAAGTTTCACAATTAAACCATCTAGCTCACAGAACACAAATACACTGAACAATTATCTCTATTGAGTTGATTTTATGGAAATCATAAAAAGCTTTCTCTGACAGTTATAGTTTTGAAATCAAGATGCATACACTTTTAATGCATAATATCTGTTAAGAGTTTTCTATTCATGCCTTTAGGTCTATGCTACAAACGTGTAATGGAATGCCCAAAATGCAATGAACTGACATTTGCAGGTGAATGGTTAACACCTCAAGAAGCACAAACTGTGAATTATCGTAAATGTCCAGCCTGTGCTCACAGGATACCAAGTTGTCTTGTTGCTCCACCAGAAAGTGGATTAGAATGTGAGTTATCCGTTCCACTCTGCCTGCCACCACCATTCGTATATATATAATTTTTGCTGTTCAGTCAGATTGGCTGATAGAATTCAGTCTGCACCAAAGAAAGGACTAGACACGTTACACTAGTGTCCAATCAAACTACCCACTACAGTCCTACAGGAGGTCAGTTGCGAGCCTGAATAGCTCAGTGATAAGGTCTCTGACTGTAGCACTGGATTATACGGGTTCGAATCTCAGGAGGGACATGAGTTCCTTCAAGGTTACAGATACGCCTTGCTGATTGGGTAGTGTCAACTAGCACGAAATCGAAGTCAAAGAGGGCTTCTGACTGATCGCCCCCAACCGTCTAATCTCATCAAATCAATGTGCACCGTAATGGCGAGCTACCTAGAATTGGTGGCCACATTGCAAACCTGAATGATAGAATTCAGTCTACTCCAAAGAAAGGCCTAGATACGTCACACTAGTTACTAGTGTCCAATCAAATATTACTATAAATTATTTAAAATATAGTCAAATGAAACCAACACTTGAAAATACAGAAGTGACACATTATATTTTCATGTGTTCATTTGCCGGGATTTGATTAGTTACGGGTTCGATGACGATTTGACATCAGTTAGAGAACGACTGGAAAACCGGCGTGAAGTACTGCACGGCTATTTCATCCTAATTTTAGGACTCTTCGTCAGTACAGACCCACTAAAGGGTCGAACCCAGGACATTTTGGAGAGCTGGTAGATCATTCAGTCTCTGAGACCCGATCCACTGACCAGCCCATGAACTCCTGCTTCTGCTAGTTCACGATATGGATAGCGCAACTGCCATCCAGTGTCATGGCCTATTAACTGTTCTCTTACTTGATTCGGTGGATCCCTCTGGTTACAACTTGCAGTACTCACGTTTTTCAGTGGTTCTCTAAGATTGCATTTTATCATTTTAAGTAAAAAGTAAAACAATTATTTCGAACTATTTTTGGGAATGGTCAAATGAGAATTATGAGCAGTAACCACAATAAGTAAAAAAATGAAGTTATGCAAGGTAGCTTAAATTTCATAACATGAATGTGAACACCTGAATTCCGAAACTACGTTCGACATCTTGTTTAAGCAGAAACACATGAGATTTTCTGTTACTAGGTGTTTGGAGGTAATCACCAGCAATCCCTGCTTGACCTAGGTTTCGTGATTGTTGGCGCTCACCGGTCAGCAAAGCGTATCTGAATTCTTGTAGGAACTCACGTCCCTTCTGAGATTCAGACCCATTTCACTCATTGATGCAGTCAAAAACACTACCATTCATCCATTTGAGCTGGCGATTGACATTCTGTGGTAATATCTCTGACATCAGCAATGGGTGATACTGATTCGAAGTTGGTAAGGAAAGATTGATAACTGCTTCTTTCTGAACACATAATTCTGGTTTCAGGCGTTTGATAGAAATTGCTTCAGCAAACTTGATGAGAATCGAGCGCCTTTGTCTATTGATAATTTTAAAGGATTTCCTGATTTCCACCTCATGACCCGTATCGAGGAGATGTCTGGTAATAGCGCTATTATAAGAGTTTGTTCCCTTGAGATGTAGGCTTTTCGGCACATGTTTAGAAAATCGGAGGTGTGCCCTTCTTTCTGTTCTCCCAATGTAACTGCTCCCGCAGAAACACGTAAATTTGTATACACAGTTGGAATTAACATGAGAATGGTATCTGTCGACTTTTGACTGCACCAAAGAGCATGTTGTTTGATGGACGAGGACCAACTTAGCTGCAGGACAGGCTCTGGCTAGTGACGTACTCAGTCTGCTGTCGACCATTGCTGTATTGTTTCAATTCCCTCACCGGATATAACTTCTTAAAAACCATATATATACGATTGTACAGCTTGATGATAAATTCGTTGAAAAGAGTCTCTTCGCTGAATCATTTGTTTTGATTTTCTATATGTATTGTTTTCACCTTTAAAATATAGTTGAATGAAGACAGGCTTGTTTTCAACTGTGATTTCTCTGTGTGAAAAAAGCCTGTCTTCATTCAACTATATTTTAAAGGTGAAAACATTACAGCAATGGTCAGCAGAAGACTGAGTATATCACTAGCCAGAGCCTATCGTGTAGCTATTAATGGTACCATATTATTCTGCACAAACCATTGTTGTTTTTGTTTTATTCAAATTCATTAAGGGGAGGAAATGCGTGAAGTTTCACAATTTTTTTTCCTTTTTTAGATAAGCGTAAATCAAAGTCAAAAAGAAAGAATAAAAAGCATCAGAAATCAAGAAAATAATCCATGCGTATTTTTTCCTTGTTCTTGTGTTTTTACTTGTTGAAACATATTTCTATGTTTGTACAGAAAATATTATCATTTAAACTACTGAATTTAATGAAATAAAGTAGTAATTTGATGAATCCATTTTTGTTTTCTATAGCCAATGTTGTTAAGTGTTAAAACGTGGTGTGAATAGCATTGAACGATATTTATAGAATACTAATTTATGGAATTGATACTATATTGGTAACAGGAACTTTCAGCGGGATTGGAGGAACAGTGAACCAGTAATTTGATGGTCACTAGTCTAAATATTGTCAGGTTCTAAAATGATCTGTCTGTCCATCTAACATTAGGTATGTCGATGAAATGTTATGATCAATAGATTCTTCTTTAATCTTGTCATTAAAATGCCTGAATGCTGTCTCACTGTTAGATGTAGATAGCTTAACCGTTACTATATGAAGACCTTCCTCAACAGCTATCTTAGCTCAATAATCAAGATCATATGGCCGGCCAGAAAAGATCAACAACAGGGTTTATTAAGAGTGAACCAACCAGAAGCCAATTGTGCAACAGATATGCAGGTGGATTGGCCATACTCTGACATCACACGCCATGCCATCGCTCGAGTGGAAGCCGAATGGGAAGCGGCGAGTTGGTCGTCAGTGAGAGGGTGACATAGAAGAGGTTATGTGAAGAAGAGATGGAAGCATGTGGGTAGAGGTGAAACCAGATCATGGAAACTTTGGCGGAGAACCGAACGCAATGGAGGCGTACGGCTGAAGCCCTATGTTCCTCTAGGAATTAAAGGAAAGAATAATAATAATAATGACAGTAATAATAATAATATGAAGACTAATACTAAAAAGAAATCAAACCTGAAGTAGAAATCATTTCATCACACGAAACTATTACACGTTTAGCTGAGTGCTTTATGAAGAGTATTGACAACAGCATCTGTGGTCCTTTGATCAGACAAATGCATCTCTACAAGAGACACGTAGATGATGCTTTTATAATCTCCAGATACACCTATCAATAAAATTCATCCAAGAACGTGAATCAAACGTGACATTCCCATTCCTGGATGTAATACTTACTAGACGACAAGACTGCTAGATCCAAAGATCAATATAACGCAAAGCAACATGGACTGAACAGTTTATCAAACTGCAGTGCTTCCTCTCACTAATCCAAGAGTAAAACCTAGTACATACCTTGAACTCGAAGATTCGAAAAATCTGTTCAGAAGATGCGGTAGACAATGAATTAAAATCAGTACGTCAAACCCTAATAGAGAACGGGTGTCGACCCAGATTTACTCATAAAAACATGAAAGAAAAACATCCGTTGCTGAAAGTTGCAGCTATTCCTAAGAAAACTGTCTTCATTAACCTCAAGTTCAGAGGTGACACTGAAGCGGAAATCAAGGTGACAGTGGTTGTCATTTCCATGTTCATTCACATCCTCTCTAACAAATGCTTGCTGAATCTGTTCAAGTATGTTAGATGAAGCGAAAAATAACATCCCCTGTTAACCTGATTTCAAATAAGTTTAACTATCTTTCAAAATGAATATCTTCCCTCAGTCTTATTCGAACTGATCACTACCCAACAGTGACGTACTATTAAACTCAATTCTTTTCGTGCTTCAGGTTTTGTGATTAGCAGATATTTCAGCATATGTTTTTAAAATAAGGTCTGTTGAAAGAGTTATATTTCAGTGTTAAACACTCCGACCACAACTCTTCCAATATTTTTCTTTGAGTTTAACCTCCCCATCATTCAATGTACAGCAATTATTTTAAATTTATCTCAGGCTTGATCACAAACAGACTTCACCTAGAGAACCATCGGAGAGCAGAGATTGTTGGAAGCCTGGTTCAACTCTGTTTGGAACCATTCATCAGGACGCACGCATAACCCCAACAGTGGTCGAAATCAGGAAGATATCTCGTTTGTAACGGATTCCTTACTGAAGTCAATTCATTGTCAATCTTGAAATCTATCGAACGCGTCCAAACCAACACTTAGAACAAAATTTTATCACAGCTTCGTGACATTTGCTTCGATTTATTCTGAGATGGTCGTTTTAGTGGAACTTACCTTAAATCGTCTGTTTCATCACATTTACACATTCTCATAAGTATTCCTTAATAAGAATAATTCTGATGAGAATAAGTGTTTGTAGTCAATACTCTTCAGTCATAAGTGAAGTATAACTCAATTTCGAATTGTTGAGTGAGTGAAAACCAATTTCGGCTTTTCTGAGTAAATAGTTTCCGCCAATATATTTGGAGTGTCAAGTAAATCGTTTTGTTTCCAACTGTTGCAGTGAACGTCAAGGGAATATATGGAGGACAGAGGTGATGAAGTTGCCTTACTAACATTAGCAAGGACTAATCACTAACAATAGGTGAAATATAAACTCTTGCACTCATCTAGACATCATCGTTTCAACTGCAGGCGGAATGGATGAAGATGTGAAATTCAGGGTCAGAAATGCAAGACAAATCTTCATTACTCTGAAACCAGTGAAGAAATTCACTACACTCACAGCAAGAGGAACATGTTTCCCATTTGCAATACTTAAGTGTCAACATTGATACTTATTTCCAGGTTCCAACTAGCTTTGTAGTCACTATCTATTTTTCTCCTAGAATGTGTATCATTGTTCTGAAGTTTGCATATCATCTGATGAATTTATCCTCATAATCTGTCTTTGTTCGTGTTTAATCTCCAATTTTAATGCTTCTAATTGTAGTTGTGTTGTGAAATGTATAATATGTTATGTAACAAATGCGGCTTTGTTTGAGTGAGTCATGGTCATCCTGACCTTGGACTATCTGCAAGAAATGTGGCGTCGGATTCTTGCTGACAGAGTCATAATCCCAACTTGTTGGGAATATTCTGCTTGGTACTGCGGTACCTCTCATGATTGAGGCTGGTTAGCTAATTTTGTTCTACTATAATTTTTTTGTACCTGAGAATTATCTAGCCTGTTTCTCTCTTTGGAGGCACCATTGAGGTAGTTTGTAGTGTTTGATATCATTGTCATTGTGCAATAATACCATAAAACTTATCTCAAACTACTGTGTGTTTGCTTTTGTTGCGTCACATTCTGACTTCGCGAAACACAGGAGAGATTTAGTCAGTTATGCAATAGAACGCATGGGCTGTTTGCCTGCGTTCACACGACAACAATTCCCTTTTGGTCATTAAAAGTGTGCATCCCACACATTCCCACATCTTAACAATCACATTTCCTATTTGCGAAATCAAACTTTTATCAGACAGTTCGGAAACAGTCATCTTTATCTGTTTGGGAAAAAACTTCTAAAAACATTATTATTAGTAGTAGCAGTGGTAATTAATTCGGTGTTGACTTCATCGGGAACATAAAATGATCTACCTCTACTCCCATCAAGCTACAATCATTTGTAACACTTTGACTGTCACAAAGATTAAGGTTTATCATTTACTTTCTGCCATGCCCACAGTTATAGTATGTGAATACTTCTAATAAGCTCCTACATATTTCTGAAAGGCAGAGTAGGACAGTGGCATGGACTATTGGATTCCGTCCTGTTGGCTAAATAATTACACCCTTGCCTTGTGATTGACTGGATGGTCGTGATTCCGACTGGCAGTGGAGTCATGCATGCTTGTAGTCCATGATTAGGATGAAATAACTGTGCAGCCCTCCGTGGTTTTCCAGTAATTACTTAACTTCTGTCGGTTCTCGAGAAAATTTAAATCAGCCAAATCTCTACTAACAAACACTTGACAATATGTGAAAAATAACTTTGCATTCGGGTGTCATCGTACGTTACTTGTACTAACTCACTCTGTTTAATAAAGGAGTAATAAAAGTTTAGTTTATACAATAGGAAATCCCCTTTTCAAAATCCATATCGTATACACATATTCTCGGAATACTGAACAATGCATGCTGCTCTATTTAGAAAAGATTTGAACAGAAACTGGCATGATTTTATTTATATCACATGACAATATGGATGGTAATGTTCTTCAGTGAGAAATGAAAATCATATTAAAATAAAAACATATAGCATTCCTTCGCGAAAATATGGTGTACATTGCATCCATTGAGTGGAAGTATTTCCTTTGGAATGATTACCACTGCATACAAATCTTAAAAATGTATGTACAGAAGACGCACAGTGAATCATGTGTGAGGAAGATTCAAAGGGAAGATGGAATGTAGATAACTTTTAAACTTATCTTGTAATGTCAGTTGAAGGCAGAATGGCTAAACCCAAGCCATCCTTTATGTGCACTTTGTTGTAATAGTTATATTCGTATAACATAACGTTTAACTAAAGCAATTGAATGTGAAGGTAGTTTAGAGAACATATTTTCTGAAAAGAAAGATTGAAAGATTTTCATCGAAACGGAATAAGTACCTTTATCAACCGTTCGAATTCCCGTAGTTCCACGGCTGTGATAAATGTTATCTCCACACAACCAAAGGCAACAAACCATTCGCTTATTGCACTCCATTTGAATTCTCCGTAACCCTGAATGGGATTGGTTGAAAAGCAATAACAGATATCAAGTGGCCTAAATAAAATCAATAAACACTATGTTGACTTTATTGATCCGGCATTTTAAACTAGCAAATATAAGGATTTCAGCTGCAGATCACATATGAATTATCAACAGTTTGTTTGTAGGGACTTGATTTATTTCATATTTGGTAACGGATTGATATAAAGTAGAAGCTAGAAGTCATCGGCCATTGGTTCGGGTTCCAGTGGCTTACTAGTCTAAGAGTTTGCCATATAACCAGCAAACTCTGGGTTCGAAACCCTGTGGGTGCTTTCTGTTGACGAGTCGCAGATTAGGAAGAAACAGCTGTACAGTAATTCCGGGCTCCCAGTAGCCCTCCATCCGATATAAATCCTTGGTCAAATGTGAAATATTAATTAGTAGCGATTAAATGTTGTTCACATTAGACTGTCATGTAGTAATTTATATGTGCATATAGTGAGTTTGCAGTC